CAGAAGGCCTGGGTTTTCCGGGAAAGCATAGTGATTGGGAAAGGAGTCAATCTGTTCAAGTTTTAATCCACTTTCATCATGTACTAGCTATGTTGGTTAAATTCTCTAACTGTGGGTTTCTTCATTTGTAAACTGCAGATAATAAGAATACCTACCTCAAATAGATTAGTGTGAAGATTCTATGAGATAATGCAAGTATAACGCTAAACATCAAGCATAACACCTAAAAAAATGTTAGTTATTGAGATTATTGGTCATAACTGCTAGAATTCCAACTTAAATGATTCTTCAACCCCACTGAGAACTATGGATCCTAACCCTTTTTCACTAATCCTTAGGTCCCTCCCACCCCAGGTCTTCACGTCTATCCTTTAAGTACATCTATGTAATCACTCCTTTGCCCTGTCATCATCATTCTTGCCTGGAAAACTCCAACCATCCTAGGCATGGCTCTGTTCCTTCACTCAGGCTGAAAATGGCAGGAGATAAACACTCAACCATACTGACTAGTCTCAACTTATTTTTTTTTCTTTTATTGATTGATGAGAGAGAGAGATGGGGGGGGAGGAAGTGGGGGGGGGGGAAGAGAAAGAGGAAATGGGGGGAGAGAGAGAGAGGAAGTGGGGGGAGAGAGAGAGGAAGTGGGGGGAGAGAGAGAGGAAGTGGGGGGGAGAGGAAGTGGGAGGGAGAGGAAGTGGGGGGAGAGAGGAAGTGGGGGGGAAAGAGAGAGAGAGAAACATCAATCTGTTGTTCCACATATTTATCCGTTCATTGGTTGCTTCTTGTATGTGTCCTGACTGGGATCAACCCACAACCTTGGCGTATAGTGATGACACTCTAACAAACCCAGCTACCTGGCCAGGGCTGACTAGTCTCAATTTAAATTCATGACCCACTAACTTTAAGTTATGTCCAGCAATATACTATTTTCTGAAATCCAATTAGTTACTCCTTCTCCTAAACCAGTTCTTCTCAAACTTTTTTTTTTAATATATTTTATTGATTTTTTTTACAGAGAGGAAGGGAGAGGGATAGAGAGTTAGAAACATCGATGAGAGAGAATCATCGATCAGCTGCCTCCTACACATCTCCCACTGGGGATGTGCCCGCAACCCAGGTACATGCCCTTGACCGGAATCGAACCTGGGACCTTTCAGTCCGCAGGCCGATGCTCTATCCACTGAGCCCAACCGGTTTCGGCTCTTCTCAAACTTAAATGTACATACTGTCCAGTACGCTAGCCACTTGCCACACGTGACTGTAATTTTTAAATTCCATTAAAATTCAGTCCTTCCATTCATTGCACTAGCCACATTTCAAATGATAAATAGCCACATGTGGCCAGTGGCTACCAAATCTGACAGTGCAAAAGTTCTATTGACAGCTGTCCTAGACAATTGTTTCATACCTTCTACTCCCTCCTCAAACCCCCAACACGTCCTCTCCCATACTTATTTTTAGGTGATAATCTTGGCTCCTAATTCAATGAGAAAAGAGGAGTGAACAGGAAATCTCCACAGCCTCCCTCATCGCATCTACCAACCCACATGCATCTGTACCCATATATTCTGCCTTCTTTCCTGGTACTACAGATGAATGCGGTCCTATTTAACCTACCCACTGATGCACTTCATCTCATGCCCCCTGTTCTATTCAGGAGCATCACTCCAGCAATCATCTCTCTTATGTATCAATTTTCTCTTTCTACAGGATAATTCTCATGAGCATAGAAGCACTGTATAATTTCTCCTGTCTTAAAAAAAAAAAAAAAAAAGCCCTCTTTTAACCTTCATCTATTTCCACTTTCCTTTATAGACTTCCTCAAGAGTTTATCCACACACAATTTTTGGAGAAACCAAGATGGTGGCATAGGTAAACACTGGAAATTGCTGCCTCGTACAACCACTTCAAAACTACAACTAAAAGACAAAACATACATCATCCAGAACCACAGGAAGGCTGGCTGAGTGGAAATTCTTCAACTAGAAGGAAAGAGAAAAGTACACTGAGACTCAGAGGAGGTGCGGAAGTAAAGTGCAGAGGTACGTAGGCGCGGAAAGGGCTGGCAACTGAGGACGTGGTTGTCTTTTTCAATCGGGAGGGAGTCTCAAGCTCCTGACTGCTCTGAACTCCAGTTTCGGGCGAGTCTCTGGGGACCCAGACTCATACGGGGAGAAACTGGACTGTCTGGCATCGGTAGGAACTCGAGGTCGGCTTTCTCTCAGAGGTGCTTGCAGCAATTACCAGGACACTGAGACCCTGGACCTCTTAGAGCAGAACTGAGGATCAGCCATAGCTACTTGCTCCACCCTGTTGATTCCCTGAGACCCCGCCCCACCCAAGCTGTGCGCAGAGGCTTTTGCATATGAAAGGCCTGACCCTTTGCAATCTGAAAATTACCTAACAAACTGCAGCTGGGTCAGAGAGACCCAGAACTTCCAAAAGAAGGCCCGAAGCCCCACAGCAGCTTGCATTGCTTCACAGCTGGGCCTCATCTGGGCACCTCCAAAACCCAAACAAGGAAGAGGAATCTGCAGATCTCTCCATAGCTCCTGCTGGGTAGCCTCAGGCAGAGGCTAAATTAGCACCTCCTTAGAGATCCAAGCGACAGGGTACCCAGTGGTCAGAGTGGGACCATCCAGATTACAACTCCTCAGATCCATAAGGGACACACTCAGGGGGCAGACTCAGTGAGCACCAAAGCCCCACTGAAGCAAGCCTTGCCCCAGAAGGGTGTCTCCAGCACAGAAGTTCTCCCACTATAACCACAGCTGATTCTCACAGCCAATTGGCCTGGAGGTCAATTCCTCCCAGTGATAACTACAACAATCAAGGCTTAACTACAACAAAACTGTGCACCCAGCCCACAAAGGGGTGCACCAAGAGTGTCCACCTCAGGTAATTGGGACACTTAGCAGAGAAAGCCACTCTATCAACACAGCAAAGCATAAAAAATGTGGAGACAAAAACAGGTCACAAATGACAGAAATGGAGGAAAGCAAACTACAGGATATAAAGTTCAAAACCACACTTACAAGGTTTTTCAAGAATTTTCTAGAAACCGCTGATAAATTGAGTGAGTCCCTCAAGAAATCTAGTGAAACCCTCGAGGATATGAAAAAGGACCAACTAGAAATTAAGCATACACTGACTGAAATAAAGAATATTATACAGAGATCTGACAGCAGACTAGAGGATCGCAAGAATCAAGTCAAAGTTTTGAAATACAAAGAAGCAAAAAACACCCAACCAGAAAAACAAAAAGAAAAAAGAATCCAAAAATATGAAGATAGTGTAAGGAGCCTCTTGGACAACTTCAAGTGTACCAACATCTGAATTATGGGGGTGCCAGAAGAAGAGAGAGAGCAAGATATTGAAAACCTATTTGAAGAAATCATGACAGAAAATTTCCCCTACCTGGTGAAAGAAATAGACTTACAAGTCCAGGAAACACAGAGAACCCCAAACAAAAGGAATCCAAAGAGGACCACACCAAAACACATCATAATTAAAATGCCAAGAGCAAAAGACAAAGAGAGAATCTTAAAAGCAGCAAGAGAAAAAAAGTCAGTTACCTACAAGGGAGTACCCATACGACTGTCAGCTGATTTCTCAACAGAAACTATGCAGGCCAGAAGGGAGTGGCAAGAAATATTCAAAGTGATGAATAACAAGAACCTACAACCAAGATTACTTTACCCAGCAAAGCTATCATTCAGAATTGAAGGTCAGATAAAGAGCTTCACAGATAAGAAAAAGCTAAAGGAGTTCATCACCACCAAACCAATATTATATGAAATGCTGAAAGATATCCTTTAAGAAGAGGAAGAAGAAAAAGGTAAAGATATAAATTATGAACAACAAATACATATCTATCAACAAGTGGATCTAAAAATCAAGTGAATAAATAATCTGATGAACAGAATAAACTGGTGAATATAATAGAATCAGGGGCATAGAAAGGGAGTGGACTGACTATTCTCGGGGGGGAAAGGGGTGTGGGGGGTGCAGGAAGAGACTGGACAAAAATCTTGCACCTATGGATGAGGACAATGGGGGGGAGGGGGGCGGTAAGGGCAGAGGGTGGGGTGGGAACCGGGTGGAGGGGAGATATGGGGGGAAAAAAGAGGAACAACTGTAATAATCTGAACAATAAAGATTTAATTAAAAAAAAAAAGTTATCCACACTCATTATCTCCAGTCCTTCTCTGGACATTCTTTTTGGAACCCACTCTCCAAGCAGCAACCTACCAGGCCGTATTATGACCTACATCAACCCACTGATAAGCCTAGCCCCCTACACAAACACACATCCATCATCATCATTATCATCACCAATCATCTCCCCCTGGACCACTGTCCTTTAGACACACAATCCTTCTTGCTTTTCACGCTCATGGTTGCCTCTGCCTGGAAATCTTTTCCTTGACACATGTAGTTGCATGGCTTGCTCCCTACCTCCTTTTTGCCACAATGCCACCTTCTCAACAAAGCCTTTCTTGGTCAACTTTCTAACATTGCAACCCTCCTCCACCCATACTCCCTAGTCCCACTTCCAGCTCTAGTTTTTTCTTTAGCACTTATCAACACCTGAGATGTCACACCATGTGTTTTAGCAGGTAGCCCACACACATATAAGCAACACGAATGCAGTCATTTCTGTCTGTTTACCGGGATGCGCTCAATTTTTTGTTGAAAGGAGGAATCAATATTACAACCTCCTCTCTCCAAATCGGTTTTAGAAACTTAGGTGGAGTAATACACACGACATTAAATAGTCTGTAAAGTTAAAGACATCCCTGCCTCATCCGCTAACAAGAAAAGGCACATCCTCACAACAGCCACGCCTCAAGCTTTGAGGGCAAGTCTTTCCCTTTCTTTAGAATAAGGAATTTTTCCCTGCAGGACAGTGGCTACCACATGGAGCATCTAGTTTTTGCAAAACACACAGATCAGCCGGTTCTAGGGCCCAGCCGAGCTCTCTTCCCACAAAAACTCACCGCCATGGCGCTGCCCAGCCGACAGTGCAAACCCACGACCTCGGTGATCACCCTCAAAGGAGTAGTTACAACCTTTCACCCTTCCTACCGGGACACCCAAGCCTCTCAAGACACTGAAGCACACCACGCCTGCTGAGGCAATCACCAGCTCACTATTAACTACCACCGGGTGCATCTCGTAGCCTGTCGGGAATTGTAGTTCCAAAGCACCTAGAGCCCAAATCCAGCAGGCACTTGTTGACTACAATTCCCAGGTAGCAACGGGATACCGGAAGTTGACTCGACAGGCCACTCAGAGGTGACACTGGTAGTGATGTCACGTGCACGTTGAACTACAACGTCCATGATGCAGTTCGGAACCGCAGAGGGCCGCCAGCGCGCGCTGAGGTAAAGTCCCCAGCCTTCAACCTTTTCACCCCGCAGAGCTGGCTGGGTGTCTGTCAAGATGCCAGGATGCAAAGTTAATTCATCTTTCAGTGACAGGTGCTAATGAAGGCTTGCCACTGTGCATGGATATTTATTACTGTCGGTGGTATTCAACAGCCCAGAATTTAGACATTTTATAACCATTTATTAACAATCTCCACTTTTAAGAGAGAGGCTGGTAACATACCTGGTCTCAGTGCCAATCTCAGACTATTTCAACTGAGCTACCATTCAAGGTTGAGCTGTCTGATGCAGTAGTCACTAGCTACATGTGGCTATTTCAATTTAACAATTTAAGTTAAATTAAAATTAAGTTCTTCGGTCGCACTAGCCACTTTTCAAGCTCTCCGTAGTTTATGTGGCTAGTGTTTACAATGTCATCGGACACTGAGGAAATAGAACATTTCCATCATCAAAGAAAGATCTGTTTTTAAAAGTGACTCCATTCCCCCTGGTCGGGTAGCTCAGTTGGTTGGAGCTTCGCCCTGATGCACCAAGTTTGCAGGTGCGATCCCGGGTCAGGGTTCACACAAGAAGGAACCAATGTATCCATAAATAAGTGGAACAAGAATCAACGTTTCTCTCGCTCGCTCGCTTGCTCTCCTTACCTCTCAAATCATTTTTTTTTTTTTTAATAAAAGATGTTTCCACCAGGCCTTTGTGGCTCAGTGGTTGAGTGTCGACCTATGAACCAGCCAGGGCACATGCCCAGGTTGCGGGCTCAATCCCCAATGTGGGGCATGCGGGAAACAGCCATGCTTGATTGTCGCTCATCATAGATATTTCTCTCTCTCTCTCTCCCTCTCCCTTCCACTCTTAAGTCAATAAAAATATACATTTTTTAAATAAAAAAGGATGTTTCTATTTTTTTTTAAAATGGTGATTCAAGGCTTTTACTTTCTGATGGTCAGATTACTCTCATATACATTCGTTTATTGAGTTAACATTCATTAAGCATCTACAAAGCACTTTACGGGAGGGGGCAGCCCAGAAGTGTGTTTTCCCAAAGGACTGGGGGGGGGGGGGATTATTTTTAATGAAAAGAGGTCATAGGAGGGATAAATGGTGATGGACGGAGACTTGACTTGGGATGGTGAACGCACAATACAGTGTACAGATGACGTGTTGTAGAATTGTGCACCTGAAGCCTGTATAATTTTGTCACCCAAGGTCACCCCAATAAATTCAATAAAAAAAATTTTATCCTAGAAAAAAGAAAAATTTTATAAAAATGCATTTAAAATGATATGTGCTATGTATGTATTGTCAAACAAACTCAAAGAGTCAGGACTCTTTCCGCCGTCTCGCAGCCTGTGGAAGCCTGCTGGGAACAGGACTTCTATAAAGGCAAATATGTCTGGAAGGCCATTTTCTTCTGGCTATAAGCAGGGTCTCTGGGAGCACTCGACTCTTCTTAAAATTGAAGGTGGCCCTAACCGGTTTGGCTCAGTGGATAGAGCGTTGGCCTGCGGACTCAAGAGTCCCAGGTTCGATTCTGGTCAAGGGCATGTACCTTGGTTGCGGGCACATACCCAGTGGGGAGTGTGCAGGAGGCAGCTGATCGATGTTTCTCTCTCATCAATGTTTCTAACTTTCTATCCCTCTCCTCCTTTCCTCTCTGTAAAAAATCAATAAAATACATTTAAAAAAAAAAAAAAAAAAAAAATTGAAGGTGTTTAGCCTAGAGATGAAGCTGCATCTCCCTAGGCAAGAGATGCCCTTATGTGTGTACAAGGCAAAGAACTACACAGTGACACCTGGTGGCAAAGGGAACAAAGCCAGAGGAAGCTGGAGAAACGTAGCTTGTGCTCATGGAAACTGGTTCCTGGCAAATTTCTAGTCAATCTCCTTCTAAGGCCATTGGATACAGAATCTGTGTAATGCTGTGCCCCATAAGGATTGAGACTTATTGAACAGTAAGTAAAAGTGGATTTTTTCCTTTTGTAAAAAAAGAAAAAAGAGTCTTTGGCTGGAAATGATGATTTATTTAAGGGTCTTAGGGTTTGCAAATCATAAACACAACTAGGTAATATCCAGAGTTGTCTGAAGAAGAAAGAAAAGCTAAGTGTTCCTATAGTAAAAAATATATTCTTGAGAAGAAGCAATCCTGCATTCTTAGCCTCTGGGTTGGTAATCCTCTAGGTTACTGGTGATCTGGATAATAAATGTCAGATGGTCTGGTTATGTGAACATTCTTTCCTTAGTTTTTCAGGGGTAATCAGGGGATTATCTGGAGGTCTTATGTGTATCCAGGCTTTGATGCAAGAACAGAAAGTTCAAAAATTAAGTTCCCAGGCTAGATAAAGCAAGAATAGAATCATTTCCTCATGCCTCAACCTACTTTATTTTAGTAATTTAGCAGCTTGACTATAGTGACTTCATTGTATTTCTTCACATATACATTTTTCAACAACTAGTTTTTTAAAATATATTTTTATTGATTTCAGAGAGAGGAAGGGGAGGGGGAGAGAGAGAGAAACATCAGTGATGAGAGAGAATCACTGATCAGCTGCCTCCTACATGCCCCCCACTGGGGATCCAGCCTGGGCATATGCCCTGACCGGGAATCAAACCTTGACCTCCTGGTTCATAGATTGATACTCAACCACTGAGCCAGCTGGCCAGGCTCCGCAACTAGTTTTGAAATAAAAATCTAATGATGGCCTAACACAATGCCTGGCACATGGTATGGGCTCGATAAAAATGTGTTGAATGAAAGGAAGAAGGAACCCTAGGCTATAGAGAACCTACCAGTGGTATTCCTGCCTCTGGGCTCTTACACATGCAAATACTCTCCATCACTTTCTACACCCTCTTCCTTTAGCTACTCACCATTTAGACATCACTTCCTAACAGCCAAATCTGGGTTAAATGTCCCCTCCTCAGTGTTCCCTGGAGCACTACTTTACTGCCCTCCCTTGAGAAATGTATCTGCCTGTTTATTTATTACTAGACTGTAAGCTCCATGACAACACAGGCTGCCTAGCACAGTGTCTGGCACATAGCAGGTGCCTTATAAATAGTTATTAAACTAGAGGCCCAGTGCCCAAAATTCGTGCATGGGGCAGGGGAGGCCTAAACCAGCAGTCGGACATCCCCTCAGCCCAGTCTGCACCCTCTCCAATCCAGGACCCCTTGGGGGATGTCCGACTGCCGGTTTAGGCCCGATCCCTCTTGTTCGGGCCTAAACCGGCAGTCGGACATCCCTCTCACAATCTGGAACCACTGGCTCCTAACTGCTCACCTGCCTGCCTGCCTGATCACCTCTAACTGCCTCCCAATGGCCTGGTTGCCTCCAACTGCCCCCCTGCCAGCCTGGTTGCCCCTCACTGCACGCCCCCCCCTGCCAGCCTGGTCACCCCTAACTGCCCCCCCTGCCAGCCTGGTTGACCCAGGCAGCCTGCTGTTTGGTCGTTTGGTTGCCCCTCACTGCCCCCCCTGCCAGCCTGGTCATCCCACACAGCCTGCTATTCAGTTGTTTGGTCGGCCCTCACTAACCCCCCTGCTGGCCTGGTCACCCCACGCAGCCTGTTCGGTTGTCCATTCGGTTGTTTTGGTTGCAACGGTCACTTAGGCATATATATATATGAATGAAAGCATGCTCACCCTCTATAGCTCTTATAACTATGATTATACTTTCCTGTTTCAATTCTGCCCTAACCAGTACTATTTGTCATCTTTGATTCATCAGCTTCTAATCCACATTGGTCATTGAAACTACTCATACAACAAATACTTAGTAAGCACCTCCTAGGAACCTGAGATATAGCAAGGATATAATAAGGAACAAGCCAGACATGGTCCCTGCCTTCATGGAGCTTAGGGATATTAAAGAAGAACATAAACAAGTACCGATGTGGTTACAAATTATGAAAAACCTACTTGCATACCTCCAACTTCATCATTTTTAATTTTCCTATATAAATGACTAATATTCTTCTTTTAAGGGTTGTTTGGATTCCATTCATTCAAGAAAAAAATATTTACCTTCAACTGTGTGCAAGGCACTCTCCGAGATGCTGGAGACAACACTTGAACAAAATATGCACAGTCTCTCCTCACAGTCTAGTAGAAGAGGCACACAGGGAAGCAATGGGAGTGGTGGGAGGCTGTGGAAGCCTTGTAGGCATGGAAGGATCATGGTGCTATTTGTGTTTTATAATAAGAGATCATTCTGAAGAAGGATGGGGAGGGAGCAAAAGGGGAAGCAGGAGGCTACTGCAGTTGTCTAGGTGAGAGGTGATGGTGGTTTAGAGCAGGGGTCCTCAAACTATGGCCCGCGGGCCACATGCAAATACAAATATTGTATTTGTTCCCGTTTTGTTTTTTTACTTCAAAATAAGATATGTGCAGTGTGCATAGGAATTTGTTCATAGTTTTTTTTAAACTATAGTCCGGCCCTCCAACGGTCTGAGGGACAGTGAACTGGCCCCCTGTTTAAAAAGTTTGAGGACCCCTGGCTTAGAGGATGGTGGTGGCAGTCCAGGTGGAGAAAAGTGACCAGATTCAAGAGCTATTCATAAAACAAAGTTTATTTTAGTAATATGGTTTTTTAAATTGGGAACTCATCTGGATAAATGACATTCGTAAGGTTGCATAGTGAATACGAGCCAGGCTCTGAATCAGACAGACCAAGTTCATCATTTACCAGCTAGGTGACCTCGGGCAATACAATTAACCACTCTGTGAATGAGGGTAATAATAGTAAGTGCCTC